CATCTGCAATAGGATCTATCATGTATGCCATGCTATGTACTCGACCAGATGTCTCGTATTCTTTAAGTGCAACGAGTAGGTACCAGTCTAATCTCAGTGATGCTCATTGGGTAGCTGTCAAGAATATCCTTAAGTACTTGAGAAGGACTAAGGACTCATTCTTGATATATGGAGGTCAGGAAGAGCTTGATGTAATTGGATACACCGATGCTAGCTTTCAGACAGATAAGGATGACTTTAGATCGCAATCTGGTTATGTGTTTTGTTTAAATGTTGGCGCTGTAAGTTGGAAAAGTTCAAAGCAAGATACAGTTGCTGATTCTACAATCGAGGCTGAGTATATTGCTGCCTCAACTGCAGCAAAGGAAGTTGTTTGGATCAAGAAGTTCATTAGTGAACTTGGCATAGTCCATAGCATTGTGGATCCCATTGATCTCTATTGTGATAACAATGGTGCTATCGCACAAGCTAAGGAGCCTAGATCTCACCAACGATCCAAACACATACTTAGGTGTTATCATCTCATTCGAGAGATAATCGATCGGGGAGATGTGAAAATATGCAGAGTACCTACACTTGACAATGTTGCTGACCCATTAACAAAGCCTCTTGCGCAGCTGAAGCATGATGGACATACTAGATCTATGGGTATTAGGGGTATGCCTGATTGGCTCTAGTGCTAGTGGGAGATTGTTGGTGTAAGCCCTAGAGGCCAATACTTTTGGTACTTGTATCGAATTATTTATTAATAATAAAAGGCATTTCTTTATTATGTTTGTTTTCCAAAATAATAAAGTCCCTAGAATAGTTTATTTGTTTAATGAAATGTTAAGTGTGACTTAATCATGAGATCCCATTAAACATAAGACACTATTCTTAAAGTATCTGTAGTCAAGCTTTAATATGAAGTGGGATAACATTAAAGCATTAAGATTATTATGAAGATAGATTGATGATCACATCTCATGGATCATAGATAAGGAGTTATCAAGTCTTGACATAGGTATGAATATTAGGAGTAATATTTATACTGGATTGACCCGCTATGAGAATAATACATAGAATGTTATGCAAAGTGTCATAAGTTATTCTCATGATGATAATGGTGTATACCACCCTTCGACCTGAAACCACTATGGACCCTAGATGTAGAGTCAAGTACTTTATTGTTGATCAAACGTCATCCGTAACTGGATGACTATAAAGACGGTTGATGGGTACTTCACAAAGCATGCTAAGGGACATGAGTGACCTAGATGGAATTTGCTCATCCTGCATAACAGGATAAATGTCTAAGGGCCCAATATTGAACTGGACAAGGGTGACACAGTGTATGCCTTGTGTTCAATATAGACATGAGGGCAAAAGGGTAATTGTACAACACAAATATTATCACGGAAAAGGTTTGGTCAGATCACATGACATTTTTGTGACTTGGGTAACAGTGATGTGTTGCTAGATACCGCTCACTGTTTATTATATTAAATGTGTGATTTAATATAATTGCCAACGTTGCAAAAACCTACAGGGTCACACACATAAGGACAGGTTGATGAGAGATAGAATAAATAAGGAACACCGTAAGGTACGGTGCACTTAAGTGTAATACGGAAAGTGGTAAGGTACCACGTGGATAAGTGATATATGGTACATCATAAGGTATGATGTCCATAAGCTTAATTGGGCTTTTAGCTTATAGCCTTAATTGGGCTTTTAGCTTGTAGCCCACACGAGTGATTCTATAAATAGATCCCTTGTGATGAAGCAATTTCACTTGATGCAATTTCGTTTTTGATTCTCTCTCTCACTCAAGGTTTCTGTTCGTGATCAACTAGCACTGTGACCGAAAGCGATCTGTTCGTGTGGACTGAGTAGAGGCGTTGTTCTTCATCAACGCTCGTGATCACAACATCAAAGGTTTGAATCGCCACAAGAGGTAAATATTTATATCACTGACCATGTTCATTCGTAAGGATCGCTAAAGGAAAATTTTAAATTCCGCTGCGCTTTTGATCGCAATTTTCCTTCAGAACATGCTTGTAACACATAGAGAAAAACACCTTCAAATGACTTATTGATGGTCGTTTACCACTCCACACTTCTTCAGGAACCTTGTTCTTCAATATCTTAGTAGGACACCTATTCAAAATATAAATTGCAGTTGAAACAGCTTCTCCCTATAAAGACTTTGGAAAATTCTTTTGCTTTAGCATGCATCTCGCCATATCTAATATGGTTTTATTTCTTCTTTTAGAAATTCCATTAAATTGAGGTGTATAAGGAGCAGTTGCCTCATGATCAACACCATGTTCTGCACAGAAATCTTCAAACATCTTGGATGTGTATTCTCCACCTCCATCTGTTCGCAGAACTTTGATCTTCTTCTCACTCTGGTTTTCGACAAGTATCTTGAATCTCTTAAAGATTTCGAATACTTCTCCCTTTCATTTGATCACATAGATCCATAACTTTCGACTAAATTCGTCTACAAACGAAACAAAATATTTGTTTTCGCCAATTGTATGTTCTTCGAATGAACCACATACATCTGAATGCACCACTTCGAGAATACAGGATGATCTCATTGACATAGTCGAAACGAAAGAATTTATTGATTGCTTTCCCACTAAACAACCTTCACAAAGTTTATCAGGCATCTCAAGGCTTGGAATACCAGTAACCATATCTTGAGTAATCAGTTGATTAAGTGATCGAAAATTCAAATGTCCAAACCTCAAATGCCACAACCAACTATCCTTGTGGTCGAAAACAGTTTTTAAACATTGAACTTCTGTCGAACTGATCATAGTCTTAAATATCCTATTCTTCGATAATGGATATTTTAAGACCAAATTGTTCTTGGTGTCGAACAATTTCAAAACTCCATCTTTCATGACAACTGAGAAACCTTTTTCGACTAGTTGTACAACACTTAGCAAGTTTCATTTCATTCCAGGTACATAAAGCACATCTTTGATCATAGCTTTTCCTCCATTACTCATTTGAAAGACTATGTTGTCAGTACCTTCTGCTTGCAACGAACTATTATCAGCAAGTTTTACCTTGCTCTTCTTCAACTCGTCAAAATCGGCCAACCACTCCTTTTGACCAGTCATGTGGTTCGAGCAGTCTGAGTCGAGAAACCAGATCTTGGATTCGATATGGTTATCTGCAACAGCAGCCATAACCACCATACCACCTTCAGAATCATCTGAATCTTGGCGTGCAAGGTTCACTCCTTCGTCCTTGCTTGTCGATCCCTTGGCTTTTCTGTACCAACAATTCTTGGCTAAGTGTCCCTACTTTTCACAATTATAACACTGCATACCTTTGTTATCTTCTTTATCCTTTCGATAGTTTCCTCCTCCCCTTTTTGAGGATTCAGGAGATCTATCTTAGACCTTATTCTTATGGGGATTAGACCAAGACTTCTTGCCATGAGTCTTGTCGAACTTGTTTTTGAATTTGTTGGAACCACTATCCTTTTTCCATGACTGAGATTGCAGTGCCTGTATCGAGTCCTGAACTCATTTTCTTTCGAAAATTCTCATCTCATGCGCCTCCAACGAACCAACCAAATCTTCCACTTTAGTAATTTCAAGATTGTTGGCTTCTTGAATAGCTACGATAACATAATCAAAGTGAGAGGTCAATATTCTCATTACCTTCTCAACTATCATCTTATCAGTAATGGTTTCACCATAACCCTTCATGAGATGGACGAGTTTCTGAACCTTCGACACATATTCTACAACTTTTTCATCTTCTCCCATCGACAACAACTCATATTTTCGATGCAAGGTTTGTAATTTGACAACCTTGACTTTCTCACCTCCTTTGTAATACTTCACTAGAATATCCCATGCCTCCTTTTCCGTTTCAGCATGAGAGATTCTGTCGAAATTAGCAGCATCGACAGTCGTTTGAATGCAATAAGCAGTCTTGCAATCTTTCTTCTTGACTTTGTTGTGGGCTTTTTTCTGTTAGTCGGTTGCATTTGCAGCCAATGCAAGAACGTCGTCGGTAACCACTTCTAGGGTTTCATGGAAGCCAAACAAGGATTGCATTTGTTTTTTCTATCGGATCCAATTTTTCTCGTCAAGCATTGGAAGAGAATTCATAATGCCCTTATCATTACCCATCTTCGCAGCAGTTGATTCACTTGCCCTAGAAACACGATCTCTGACGTGAAATTCTTGAAAATTTGACCAAGAACAATAACTGGAAGCTCTAGCTACCAATTTGTTAGTGCGTGAGGCACTTTTAGTGAGGAGAGAATGAAAGAATAATAAAGGAAATAAGAATTTATATTATTAAATTATACAAATAATGATACACACTATGACTATTTATATACAACTCTAATTAGGTTTGGGTTAACACAACTTGAATTATATTTAAATATTAAATTTAATCAAATCTAATTTAATATAATATTTTAACAAATCTAATTTAATATTTCAATAAACCCATATATATATATATATATATATATATATATATATATATATATATATATATATATATATATATATATATATATATATATATATATATATATATATATATATATTTGTCTTTTCTTCCCTTTTCCCTATTATACTTTTAGTAATAGTACAATGATCAAATATGAATGGTAGAGGAAGAAAGTAACCATTCAATGATTCAAACCTTAAAAAACCAAATTCCACCTTACCTGTGTAATCCACGTACTAGTAGTAATAATAATAATAATACTAGTAATAGTAACATAATAATAATACAATAAAGCCAAATTCATTTGTGTGGCTATTGATAAATTCTCAACTAAATCCATATAATATATTATTTCTATCTCTGTACTCACTCTCTCTTCCACTCAGTTTCAATTTTCTTCATCACACTATAAAGTCTTCCTCTCACTTCAACTCAACTCAACACAATCCAAATACTTTGGAACTCAGTTCCATTTGTTCTATTTCCAGTTCAACAACCTTTACCAAACTTGTTTTATAATAAAAATGGCAAATTCTTTGACAACTTTTGCAGCCATTAACATGGCACAGGTACTACCATGTTTTTCCTACACTTATTATGTCATATTAAGGTGTGTAGTATGTGTCTGTGTCGCAACGTGACCGTGTCTGAAACCGACGCCAACACTTATGACTATGTTTAATTATTTCGTTTTTAAAATTATTACCAATAGTGTCTGGTGTCATATTTCTGGTGTCCTTGTTTCATTCATTTGGGCTAATAAGAGGTTGTTGTAATATTGTTTACAGTTGAAATTGAATGGCTCTAGCAATGGTGTTCCTATGACAAGTTCATCATTTTTTGGATCAAGTCTTAAGAAAGTTAGTTCTGTGATTTCAAGCCAGAAGAATTTGTCTGGTAGTTTCAAAGTGTCTGCACAAGTCGAATATGACGAGGAAAAGCAGACCTCAAAGGACAGATGGGCTGGACTTGCCTATGATGTTTCAGATGATCAACAGGATATCACAAGAGGGAAGGGAATGGTGGACAGTGTCTTTCAAGCTCCAGAGCAATCTGGAACTCACTATGCTGTCATGAGTTCCTATGATTATATCAGTACCGGTCTTCGTCAGTAAGTTGGTTTCGCCTTAATTCAGTTACCAAAGATTTGAATCTCGGGTTTTCTAATTCGCGATTTGACAAACATGTTCAGGTACAATTTAGACAATACAATTGATGGATTGTACATTGCACCTGCATTTATGGAGAAACTTGTTGTTCACGTCACCAAGAACTATTTGAGCTTGCCAAATATTAAGGTTCCTCTCATTTTGGGAATTTGGGGAGGAAAAGGTCAAGGGAAGTCATTTCAATGCGAGCTTGTCTTTGCGAAAATGGGAATCAGGTAAGTTCAATTCCATTACTATATGTTAAGAGTCCTATATCAGATAATATAAGGCTGAACATGAGCTTATAACTGGGGGACAATCCACACCCTACAAGCCGGTTTTGTAGGGTTGAGTAAGGTCAATTCTTAACATGGTATCAAAGCCTCGTTTAAGATCTGGTAGGCCACTACCTACTAGGTTTCCGCTATCGGGGTGTTGTCACAATTTGAACAAATTTATGTTGTTCCGCGATATGTTTTTTCTTTTCTAATGAAACTCGTTCGTTCTGCAATATACTATTTAGTACAAATTGTTATCAAATAGTGGCACCGTAGCGTAGTAGAATTTGAATAAACCAGTATTTTCTACAATATGTGATTTACACCACTGTTGTGCCTAACTCTTTGATCTACTTTCTTGGAATTCAGCCCTATAATGATGAGTGCCGGAGAATTAGAAAGTGGAAATGCTGGAGAGCCTGCAAAGTTGATTAGGCAAAGGTACCGCGAGGCAGCCGACATTATCAAAAAAGGAAAGATGTGTTGTCTTTTCATCAATGATCTTGATGCAGGAGCTGGTAGACTTGGTGGAACTACTCAATACACAGTCAACAACCAGATGGTAAATGCAACCCTCATGAACATTGCTGACAACCCTACCAATGTTCAACTTCCTGGTATGTACAACAAGGAAGAAAATCCCCGCGTCCCTATTGTCGTAACTGGCAATGACTTCTCTACATTGTATGCTCCTTTAATACGCGATGGACGTATGGAAAAATTCTACTGGGCGCCTACTCGCGAGGATAGGATTGGTGTCTGTCAAGGTATTTTCAGGTCAGATGGTGTCCCTAAGGATGGCGTTGTCAAGATTGTCGACACATTCCCTGGACAGTCAATCGGTAAGCAATGGCTCAATCTATGTTTCTAGTTATTCAGGGTTTGTTCGGATTAACTTATTTGATGCGTGTTTGTGTAGACTTTTTTGGTGCCTTGAGGGCTAGGGTGTATGATGACGAAGTGAGGAAATGGATTTCTGGTGTTGGTGTGGAGCATATTGGAAAAAGGCTTGTGAATTCAAAGGATGGACCACCAACTTTTGAGCAGCCAAAGATGACTATTGAGAAGTTACTAGAGTATGGAAATATGTTGGTTCAAGAACAAGAGAATGTGAAGAGGGTTCAGTTAGCTGACAAATACCTCGGCGAGGCAGCTCTTGGAGACGCGAATGAAGATGCTATCAAGACTGGAAACTTCTACGGTTAGACCTTTGATCCTAAAGCCCTTAATGTGAAAATTGCTTACAGATTTTTGTCTGAGATCGTGTTTTGAACAAAACATGACTAAATAAATGTTATGGTCTTATTATTTGGATGCAGGACAAGGAGCTCAGCAAGTTGCTTTTCCTGTACAGGAAGGTTGCGCCGACCCTTATGCAGAAAACTATGATCCAACGGTCAGAAGTGACGATGGAAGCTGCTCATACAATTTGTAGTTGACTGTTGAGTGAGTGCATATGAATATGGAGATTTGTAAACGAAGTCTCAAAAACATGTTACTGTGTTTCTTAGATCATTCACCATATTTTATGTAAGGTGTATTAGTCTCAACACTTTGGGCTGTATATTTTGTGTTATTGCTGGTGTATCCTGTGGTCAAGTTTTTTGAGTGACAGTTTATAGATGGCATTGTTGGCAATATCCTTTCCTCTTTTCATTTTGCACAATCATTTGTCAAATTGGTGTTTCTTGAGAGCTAGCTGATTGAGTTTATAACACTCTCACGCTGCATATTTTTCGGACTGCTTGAATTGAACCAAGAAAGATGTAGGTCATAAAGGTTATGCAGTTATAAACACGTCAATATTTTCTAGAATTATAAATAATTGAATATAACTACATGTATCAATGTTGCGTAGATGTTAGACATTGACATATAGAACTCACCCCATGCTTCTCCAACAAAAGGGTTCAACTAAACAAGATCTCAATATCAAAAGTGAGAAACTAATTTTGATTTGGGTTGATTATGATTTGTGTAGAGACACTTCATATTTAAGATGTATCATGTAGACACTTATTTACACAGTCATATAGAATATGATGTTGTTCTTGATGAAAGCAAATCCAAAAGTACAGAGGCAAGCCCTTTCCACTGCTACTCTTGTCCAAAAAGGTAATATTTCTACTTCCCTTCATTTTAATCACCAGAAAACAAACCAATGGTGTTGATTCTGACGCATCGGATCACATGACTGGGGACATCAATGTATTTACGAATTACACTCCCTGTCAAGATGGATCTTTTGTCCGAATAGCAGATGGTACCACCTCTAAAGTGACTGGTAAAGGTTCAGTGATTATCTCTAAAGATATTATTCTTGATTCAGTTTTACATGTTCCAAAATTAAATTGCAGCTTGTTGTCTATCTATAAATTAACCAAAAATTTGGGATGTATTGCTAAGTTTTTACCAAATTTGTGCGAATTTCAAGATATGAATTCGGGGAAGATGGTTGGCAATGCTGAGGAGAGTGCGGGTCTTTACTATCCAAGATTGAAGAACAAAATAAAAGATCATACAAGGTTGTCCTTACATGTTCATCAAAGAATGAGAATGATGTAATGTTATGCCATTATCGCCTAGGACACCCAAATTTTATATATTTGAAAAGGATGTTTTTATCATTATTTAATAAAGATTATGGTTTTTTTTAAATGTGAAGTGTGTGAACTAGTCAAACGCATCAAGTCTCATTATTCCATACAACCTTATAAGTCATTTAAACCTTTCACCCTTATTCATAGTGACATGTGGGTACCTTCATGAGTGAGCAATATTATTGGATCAAAGTGGTTTGTCACCTTTATTGATGACCATACAAGAGTCACTTGGGTGTTTCTCATGAAAGAAAAGTTAGAGGTAAGGAGTATATTTGAGAACTTTCATAAAATGGTTCAAACCCAATTTCAAAAAAAAACATTCAAATCTTAAGGATTGATAATAGGGGGAGTACTTCCACCACACCCTTGGTACATACCTTGCCAAAAATGGGATTGTACACCAAACTTCATGTCCATATTCTCCCTAACAAAATGGAATAGTAAAGAGCAATAAATAGACACCTATTGAAAGTCACTTGATCCCTCATGTTGTCCATGATTATACCTAGCCATTTTTGGGGAGACACTGTTCTTTCTTCATCATACCTAATAAATAGAATGCCCTCCAAAACACTCAATCTAAACATACCTCACCAAACCCTCTTGTCCTTTTATTCTTCGACCAAACTCATCACAAATCTCCCACCAAAGATTTTTGGATGTACGACATTTGTACATGATCAAAAGCCAAGTCCCTACAAGTTGCACCCAAAAGCCATCAAATGTGTATTCTTGGGATATTCTCCTACCAAAAAAGGATATAAACGATATTGTCCACAGAAAAGAAGAATCTATCACACTATAGATGTCACGTTTTATGAAGAGGATGCCTTTTATTCCAAGGCATCCATTCAGAGGGGAAAGTGACAATTGATGAACACTAACTGTTATGGAATGGCCAACAATTATAAACGGCTCAATCCATTCCTACTCCATAATGTCCCAAACTCATTGGCCCAATCAGATTGGGCTAGCGAGAGGCACGTTTTTCGCTCTGCCCGACTGACTATCACTTGGCCGCCTGACCCAAAGACAATCATACCATTCCTGTCCGCGATTGCATCCCTACTCGTGGAAACTGCTAGTTCTCCGCTTCTCTGCCCGCGATAACGGCTAGTTTCGAGCATCACCTCCAGGACGATGAGCACGAGTTGTCCGCTCCTGGCAGTTACCTATTTTTTGGGGCCTGATATCCAGGCCCAAAAATAGAGACCAATGGCCAAGTGTCGGAGACATTATATAAACCCCCACACTCGTGAGAGTCAGATGTCCAATATTCACTTCTAAACCCCTATATTCTCTCTTGTACCTCTTTGAACTCTTACTTACTTAAGGATCAGAGTGCCTTGCAGGTACACCCCTTTCTCTTTAATTCCAGTCTTACATACGTAGATATCGGTCCATCACAAGTTCTGATCACCGGTAAGATCACCAACCTTGAGAAATTACTACACCAAAAAATGTCTCAGAAACGGTTCCAGAAAATGTACTAGAATCTGACCTGCAAGAATCTGTCCCAAAATCTAACCCACTAAAACCTGGCTCAACCACTAAAAATTCAGAATTGCCCAAATAATACTTGAACCTGAATTGGACCAGAAAGAAACCACTCTTGAGGTTACCAAGACAACAAATGGAGGAAAAGAACTACGTGTATACACAAGGAAGAAAAACAAGCTTCAAACTCTTAAGAAAGTATAAACATGCACTCTTTCGAAGCAGAACCAAGGCTCAGCTCAAAATTCATATTATAAACCTACTCACAAAGGCAAATTACCATGCATTGACTCATCTTCTAATTTCTTGGATAATGACACTTATGACCAGAGCTTAAACTTACATATTTCCCTAAGAAAGGGAGTGAGGTCTTGTACCAAACACCCAATTTTTCTAGTGAAAAATAGTCGCAGGAGTACAAGAATTTCATCAACTCAGTGGACAACACCCATATTCCTCAAAATTTTCATGAAGTTATCCTAGTTCCAGAGTGGAAGGTTGTGGTTGTGGAAGAAATCAAGGCACTAGAGAAGAATGGTACATGGCATCTCTGTCACCTTCCAGATGGAAAGAGGCTAGTTGAATGCAAATGAATATTCTCGGTAAAATATAATGTAGACGGCACTATGAGGTATAAAGCTCGATTGGTGGCAAAAGGATTCACTCAGTCTTATGGGATGGACTATGAAGAGACCTTTGCACCTATATCAAAATTAAACTCAGTCCATGTTTTCATTTTCTTGGCAGTAAATTTGGATTGACCACTTCATCAGCTAGATATAAAAAATGCTTTCCTAAATGGTGAAATTGAAGAAGATGTTTACATGAGAATACCACCTGAACTTGAGACGTCAGAAAATTCAGACAATGTATGTAAGCTCAAAATATCATTATAATGGCTCAAGCTATCCCCATAGGCTTGGTTTGATAGGCTTACACGAGTGGTTAGGATGCATGGTTTCTCTCAATGCCAAATAGACCACACAATATTCTTAAAACATTCAGAAGAAGGCAAGGTAACCACCATCTTCATTGTTTAAGTAGGCGACATTATAATTACAGGTGATGACTATACTGGAATTAAAGGGTTAAAATTATTACTAACTAAGGAATTTGAAATCAAAGACCTTGGTCAATTACAGTATTTTCTTGGAATGGAAGTGGCACGAACAAAATTTAGAATTTATTTGTCTCAAAGGAAATAAACTTAACTTACTTCAAGAAACAGGGATGTTAGGATGTCGGCCAGCAGACATTCCTATGGAATCTAATGTGAAAATAGGAGAGGAAAAAGAGAGTCCATCAACTGATAAAGAGATGTATCAAAGACTGGTTGGGAGACTTATCTACTTAACCCATACACGGACAGATATTGATTTTTCTGTCAGCATGGTTAGCCGCTACATGAACAATCCCAAAGAGACTCGCATGAAAGCAGTTAATCGTGTTTTACAGTATCTCAAAAAGGCACCAGGGAAGGGGTTGCATTTCAAAAAGGACACAAACAGAAAAATAGAAATATTCACAAATGCAAATTGGATTGGCTCAGTAATGGATAGAAGATCAACCAGTGGGTACTGCTCATTTCTATGGGGCAATTTAGCGACATAGAGAAGCAAGAAACAATGTGTGGTTGCAAGAAGCAGTGCTAAAGCAGAATTTAGGTCAATGGCTCATGGGATTTGCGAAGAGATGTGGCTCCAAAGAATGCTTGCAGAACTACAAATTCATACTTACCATTAAGTAAGTCTATTCTGTGACAACAAAGTTGTCATAAACATTGCTAAAAATTCTATGCAACACGACATGACAAAACATGTGAAAATTGATAGACATTTCATCAAGAAAAATATTGACAATGGATTCATTTCTCTTCACCAAGGCACTTCCTAGAACTAACTATGAAAACTTAAGATTCAAGTTGGGCATGATAAACATTTATTACCCAACTTAAGGGAGAGTGTTGGTTGTTAATCTGCAGCCTTTAAGGCATAGTTATGCAACCATTAATAAGAGACAGCAAATACAAATTTTATAATTGTATTATATGAATACATTTATACTTATTTACAGTCATATAGAACATTCCCCCTTCTTGTAAATAGGAATTAATTTGAGTTAATTAGGATTTAATTAGTTTCTATAGTTACTTATTCTCCCTAGGCTATTTATATCCTATTCTATTATGTACAAACTCAATAAGAAATACACAATTTCTACATTGTCTACTATCTTACTTGGAGATACTTGGGCAAAGGTAGATTTGTTCAAGTTTGCAAAGGAATGTTGCCAAATTCATGTTATAAATAAACATCCTGTAAAGTAAAATCAAAGG